TAATCGAACCATAACATAAGATAAGTTTGTACAAAAACACGAAGACTAACGCATGGGCAAGCATAATGCCACATACAGAACAAACGAATAGGAAAGTCAGTATATTAACAGTATAATATTTCTCATACAGGCTCCACCTATGACTAAGATGTGTACCATTTGACTATGTTGGTAACCATAAGAAATTAGGAACTTAAGGTTTCCAACCGAACACCCACGTTGAGTCGACGGGGACAAGCGATAATGTCAATTGTTTTATATATTGCGGTCAAGTCATTGCCTGGTTGACGAGTGACCTTCTCCAGCTGACCCCAAGATACACAAACGAGGCTCTATGAGTCAAACGGTCGGGTGTGACATGATGAAAATGTGTCCTAGCCAACGAAAACATGTTATGTACAGATATGTTCAGTTTGTTCCACCTGGAAAAACACTGTTCCCCAGTCTCTTCGCTCACATGATAATGTCATCTTACAACAGTAGTCGTGTGCAAGCAGTAATCGTCATAAAGAAATAATCCACGATCAGCGTGCGCTTGAATACACGAGGTTTAGTACCAACGTGGCAACGCAGAGACGTCCGGATGTGAAGTACGCCAGTACTCGTGTAGAAAGGCTCATCTTTCCGACGTCATAGATGGCGCACGTTCATATACGCCATCCTGGTCCATGAAATACAACCACCGACCGCTCCACTCACACTTCCTTCATCAAGTACCCAGCTACTCGGCTAGACAATACTATTTAGCACTTCCAAAATGCTTTCAGCGCAGGCACACGCCTAAGCCAATCACCACTTTCGTTAAGAAAAGATTACTTAAAAAATACTGGTATTAAAGAAAAAATGATATGACGCTGGGGGCACTAAAAAAACTTTTCAAGGCGGCAGACCGCTTCGAATCACACAAATAAAAAGCTAAACAGATAAGCACTCAAAAACCCGAAACAATTGCATTAACCGTCTCAGTTTCATATTGTGTGTGGGCAGATCAAACGTCTCATCGACTGACATTCAAACACAGATCAATCACCTGAGTTCACTTAACCTTTCGTATAATAAAAAGACAATTGAACCATTAGCAACTAACCAAACAAGTAGTACCGCAACTCAATGACAACTGCATAGATAGATTACAGCTGCAGAACAGCGAAACGTTATTGTGGATGAAGTTAGTTTATCAAAACAAAGTCAGCTGAAGCAACTATTATCACGTGATAAAATAAGAGAGCTAATAGTAAAACAACGAATAAACAGAACTGAGTTCACAAGACTATATTCACCAAGCTCACAAAGTCAACACTGGTTATGAACAATATGAACGAAAAGAACCGTCAACAATCTACTTGAAAATTCAATCATACGTGTATTTTGTAACCAGATTGTGACAACCATATCGGCTATTCAGGTTTCATTTAAAAAAAAACCGTTTTGTGTTAACGATGCACACTAAATGTGCACTCACGGTCACTCTAGAACTCACAATTCGGCCGGCTGCGTTACAACGTACGACGAAAGACTTAAAAACGCGAAGTGCGGAAAACCAGAATGCCTACAGTTGGCTGTGCAAACTTGTTCTGATCCGTCAGACTAGGTCGACAAACAAGAAACAATCGCTTACGTGAGTGTGTTAATGCATAAAAAATGTCAGTAACAAGTTTAGTACTTCATCCGGCGCAAAAAGTGATTTACAAATGGACAAAACAATCCTTGAGTACATAACTTACGTGAATTTTCTTTAGTTTTGCTTGGATCTTATCTCGCACACGTTCCAGCCAATACGCTTCTCGAAGAAAATCCCAAAACAATCGACCGAGCAAAGCGTTAAGCCAAATCAAATTGGGCTCACAAGAGATATGGTTCACATTTAACCGAAGCGCTTGGGTGCTGCGCAAAAGCCAACTGGCGGGCATGAACTTAGCCATGTAACGTATATAGGTAACGTACAGCGGTTCACGACTGCCCGGAATTCCAAACTGCGTAACAGCGGTAGACGTGCTCGCCTTATCCGAAGGACAACCAAGCAAGTCCACACTGGAATCTGTGGCAAAATCTAGCCCGGAGCGAGTCTCCTCGTCACTACGGTTATCCAGGACAGCAGTGCCACCAGTCGAGCCCGAACCCGCAAGAAAGAGGTGAACAGCCTGACAAACCAAAACAGACGATCAGAACGTAAGTCTATAAAACAAAACCAAGGGCGAATGTGCAGCTAAAGCAATCCGCCGGTGTACATGTATTTAATCCCCGTACAATTTCAAACCATAAAACCCGCCTGCCAACTTGAATTTATATGATGAGGTTTGAGATAAGCTGAATCCGACAGTTCCTCTAAGTACTCCGACTAAACTTCCATTTTGCAGGACAGGGCTGAGTACAGTTCAATTCGGGTTTCACACTTTTACAGTAAATCCCACTGAACCTGTCCTCTTCCAGCATACAAAACTGAAAAGGCAAGGTTGCATTAAGCATAGAAACAACCAACACAGACTCATTTTTCCGCAATATACATGTTTGTGACGGAAAAGACGTGAAACTGTTATCGCCAGAACAGCTTAATCAACTTTGATGGGTTCTTTAACGAATCACACGATTCAATAATAATACACATTCAAAACCAAGATTATCTTAGCCTGCCTACGTACAGATCATAAGGAATATAATTGCAAATTCTGAATATGACACGTCTGGAGGAACAACCCCAATTTATCTAAAAATGCATCGTGTGAAGTAACCGATTAACGAGTGAAAAATCCATTAGGGCGTAACAAATTGCAATGATAACAAAAGCCATCAGCAAATTATATATTCCAATGAGACGTTTTATCAAACGATGGAAAAAGTAGAGAATTGCAGTGCACCATGGTCTATGATTTGTGTCTCCAAATCGTATTGCGAATTAAAACATGGCTGAACTGCGCAAAAAAACCTTTTACCATTGGGCATGTCTATCTGATGAAAAATGCTCAAAAATAAGCAGAAATCACGTATGAAATGAACAACACTCACAATTGATTGCAATTTTCGTCTTCACACGAACATAAAACCAAGACTTGAAGAAATCATCAGATTTGCATTTTGTCTTTCTTAAAGATCGTCAACAGTGCACATCCTCTCCACGATTGGGACTCGAACTCCGGTTCACGTGTTTCAGATCAGCGTGTTGATTTCTGCGTCGCTGACCCCATATTGAGCACGACCGAATTACCATACTTGAACATGCCGCTACAACCTCTTGTAATTGACGTTCAAGTAGCTCAATGGTTTCAAGATAGGGAACAGCAACTGTGCTTTCAGCACCTACCGGTCAGCTAAAAAGGTATACCTGAATGTGAAAGCCGCGACCGCATATGAATGGCGCATAGTTCACATCGATCAAAATCTCCTATTAATTATCAGCAAATACAGAGAAGCTTACGGAGACCTGAAAGATTTGACAAACAAAACTTGGATGAAGAACCTGTGAGCGCCAATGACCGAGAGCGGTTCTGTGATAAAATCTTTCAATCCGAGGTAAATAAGCCTTTTCAATCAGGCCAACTTATCCGTTAATTTCGTCAGCTTCCACTATCCACCATACCAGGTAACTCTAGGAGAACAGCGTATCGTCGTTAACCACGTGCAAAGGATTCCTACTCTGTGTTAACCTACTGATCACCACTTTCGTTACAGTCAACTGTTCAAATTGTTACACACCGAAGACGCAGTCAAATGATCCTAGAAATGATTGTGTTGTCCTGAATGGCGATTGTTGATGCGGCTAGAGAAGACTAAAACTGATGGCCCACAATGACCTTCAGAAATGTGTTAGGACTCGAGTGGCGTTAGCTGCGCGTATGTTAGTGAACGACTCGCAATTCGTCTAAGGTGAGCCCTCAGAGTAGTTGATGAGACGATCAAAGTGTTCAAAGGATAGTCAGGTTGTAGTTGAACGATTTGGACGAAATCGTACAGAATGATAGGAAATGAAATGAAAATGACACAACTGACTGCTAATATTTCGAGGTTTTCGCAATAAAGTCGTCAAAAAGACGGACTTGGGTGTTCTAAGGTTGATAGGGAGGTAAAACGCGTTTCCCAATGTTGTAGAAAGAAATTGTATCAGACTTGATCGAAGAAAGTACTATGATTGATTAGTAAGCATGAATTAGTAGAAGTTATTCATTCTTCGGGAAACAGACGCAGAATGAAACAAAAAACAGTTCGGACCATCAACCGTTGTGAACCAAACCACCACCAAACTAGCCACCAGTTATCTCGGAAAAAATACTGCATGCAGATATAAAGTGAATCAGCTGCTGAAACCAGACGAACTACGTTCCCATAGACATACCAACTGCGGAGTCCACAACAGTGGAACACCGAGAGAAGCGGCGCGCAGGCGTCTGTACCAAGCCTCCTTTTCACGACAGGTACGGCCGAATAGGAACAACGTATCCGAGTTAACGTCGCTGTGTGATATCACAGTGAAATCATCCACGACCGATTCGGCTGGTGTGGATGATCGTGAATGATCGTGTGTGCCAGAGGGTCCGACAGCACTGTTTAATCCTAACCGAACTGGGGAGGATCGGAGAAGAGCGGGCTGGTGGCCCATCATGTTCGGTACGCTCGTTGAGACAGCCAATGATGGTTTACGAACCGCTGTGTCAACAACCTGTCAGAGGGAGAAGTTTAAAAAAAGGGAAGATGAACGGCGCACTAGAAAGGGGATGGACGAACGAAAGTTGATGAAGGTCATGAAATCGTATCCACAACAGTACGGCTGAAAATCGCTGAGGAAATCGAAGCAAGTCTGATAAATGAACTAGTGAAATCGAAACACAAAACACCTAAACTATCAAAATCTACGTCAGATAAGTCGCAGGGATCGTGGATAGAAACCGCAACTAAATGGTCGACAGTTAAAGTAACTACATACAAGCCTACCAACAAACCAGTAAGTATTACTAATAAGTAGTTTGGCAGACTTATGATTTTAGGTGAGACCCAATTGTGGAAAATCAGGGCCTCAGCTGGATTAGAACCAGCGACAGAAACATCAAGCCTCAACGCGGCAGGTGCTCTACCACCTGAGCTACGAAGCCACGCCAGGAGCTCGCGAATTTCACATTTGGACTCGGTTACTCACTCGTCCCACTGTCTCATACGGAATCCACCAAATGATCCAGGGGATCGACTGCCCCGGCAGGATTTCTCGAACAGTTCACGCTGGAATCCACCAACGCCAGTGTTCAAAAACCTTCCCGGGACAGTCGATCCCCTGGATCATTTGATGGATTTCACATGAGACAATGGGACAGGTTGGTAACCGAGTCCAAATGTGAAATTCACCAGCTGCTGGCGTGGCTTCGTAGCCCAGCCGGTAGAATGCTTGCTGTGTTGAGGCGTGGTGTTTCTGTCGCTGGTTCTAATCCAGCCGAATCGCTGACTTTCCACAATTGGGTCTCATTTAAAAACCAATAAGCAACAATAACGGCATCCAAAAATAAGGCGAAACTGATCAGATTCACAAACTGAAGTTGTGTTTGCCTGACACACTACCAAAGGCTGTAATCATATAAGCCGTTCTGTAAACAGTTTTGCAAAGTACATAGACTTCTCTTCAACTGCCGCATACAGTACAATCTCTCTAAGTGCAATCAGTTGAGAAAAAATCTTGTACATTCACACAAACGGATTACCATTAATAAATTGATAAGAACGATTGTTTGCATGATGCACCATATCCCGTTGCTCTCGATTTTAATTGACGTGAACGTGTGTTCTCAAATCACTTGATGGCCGTATATAGCGCTGGAACAGTGCCTCACTTTGAACTGGTCAATGGAAGATAAGGAAAGCGTGTGCTCAACAGCGGAGTCAGGTTACTCCGCACACTCATCACCGATGTTGATCGGCACGGCCCATAGCTCACTTTATTCATCCTTGGATTAGCTATAATCAAATCAACCAATTCCATTGCCAGAACCCCTAGTGCTGCCCATAGGTTTGGCGGTGCGGCTAGTAAGAGCTGCGACGCAAACTACAACCGGTTGGTGAAATGACCAGCCATTTGACAACCATTACCTGAAGACCTCGAAAGAGAATGAGACTGAAAATCCATTCTGCAGCTCCTATGACCATAGACAGCGTACTACATCCATCTGTACCAGTTTGATAATGACAAGTAGAACAAGCAAATTATTAACCGTTGACTCGACAAACCATCATCCTCCAAGTTTTATCAAATGTGTTCATAGGAGGTTACAAAGAGGAAAAACGAAAAAACAATAATAGCGGCTATATAGGAATGTACGAAAGGGCAGATAGGACATCAGTAAAAAGCGTTAGTAGTGCTTAGCCCACATGCCAAACAGTTGCCAATACATCCGAGGTATACAATTTCTCTTATGAGACTAACTTGCTTGTTCTGCTGAATTGGTAAAATGATCGCAATCGGATACTTTTTGCTCCACAAGCGTTTACATATCAAGCCAGCAGGCAAAAGAGTGACTCGCGCATGTACCAAATCGTAGATACGTTGATGCTGGAAACGTGCGGCGGAAATTGACGGTAGTTCCTCGTTCCACATAGAACGTCGCTGAATATTGCGTCGTGGACGCTGTAAACGAAGCTGTGTACCGTCTAACGTGACAAATACCGAATGAGTCTGACTGACGTGGTGGGTTTCCGCATCGTAGTCTTTCACCTGCACAAGAACAAACGCGTAATCCCAATACACTTGACATAACATATCGTGGGACAATAGCGGATAATCATAAAGGCGAGAACTACGAGAACGCTTTTAACGTCACTACCGATTCGAAATCTTTTAAGTCAGTTTAACCAAAAATAAAACATGTGCTGGACCAAATATAAAAATACGGGTGAACAGCGCTATTATCATCAACAACAAAACGGCCCTCGTGTGAAAAAACAATGAAACCTTGATACAAGCATGATAGCATTCACCAAAACTTGGACCATTATCACTTGAACCTATTCGTGAAAACAGGTCTGTGCCTAAAGTAAAATTGGTGTACATTTGACTTTTTCTCACCATCAGACATTGGCTGTCAAGCAATAAATTAGATCCCAGGTAATCTAGACTAGTGTCAAACCGTACAAACCCAGCCTGAGAAAGTTCGAACAATCAGCATTGCAACACATGTTTGCAAGGCCAACAAACGACGTCGATACCACTGAAAGTACGGTAACAAAAAATCTCCAAAATAGTGGTCACAAGATTAGAGTCTGGAGGACGTCTTGAATGAGTAAAAATGGAATTGTGGGTCTTAAAACCGCAATAAAGTTCTCTAACGTGTAATTAGCAATATTACATAAAACGACTTCGTGAGTATGCGCTCAGAAGACTGTATTTCTAACAATGCTCGGTGAAAAATGTGTCGTCATATAACTTGTATTCAGCCCACCGGTTTGTTTTCAATTTTACGTTGCAAGGTACTAGTTGTAATCGAATACCGGTTTGATCTTATACTCAGTAGCCCAAACCAAGGTAAAAATTGATATAGTAACCGACTGATTAGTAATTCGTTTGATTTGAATGAACAGAATGAATTACCTCATTCATCCAACCCTTGTACACAGGTCGATCGTTCTTATCCAATTTGAACCCTAATCCGGGTCCCAGTGGACCAGTGGAAGTGGATGAGATCGGGTCCTCATCTTGCATGTGTGGAATGGTAAGAGATTGAAGGTCGCGAAGCTGTGGGACACTGGTCGATTGTAGCGGAGGTATGGCTGGCGCATAGACTGGCCACCAGATGTCTGAGGAGGAACCAGTAGTGTTCGTAGGTGACTGACAATGCAACGAACAACACAACTGACCCAACGGCAAACTGGATATGTGGCACCGCGGATGCGCGAAGACTGACTGCGGAGGCCATAGGAGACTACGGATCCAGACGCAGAGTAAAGTCCCACTCACGCCAAAGAGAACACCCCAGTAAAATTCCGTGAAATAGTAGATGCACGCAAGTAAAAGGACAACCAGCGCAGAAAGACAAAACCTCCAGAGATTCGACCAGCTGGAAGGAAAAACAAAAGTGAAAGATAACATGCAGAATATTATTTCAAATAGTTTCATTCACGTAGACGGTCCGTGTATCCAAAAATAGTTGCAGACTATGATCGCCTATACACGTAGTACGTAAAACTGGCACAGCTTATCGACCCTATATGGTCCTCAAAGCAGTCATTTCTCTTTAATCTTGTAAACGTAGCGTGATATTACTAGCTTATCTCAAGAAGAAGTCTCAAAACCCGTGTATGAATATAATAAAGCACTGGAACTGGGGAAGACAACTGCTACAGTAAATAAATGTGTACAAACAGGTCCCACATGCAACCGGAACGGAGAACTTCTAGTGAACACTAGTCACGTCGATTATTTCACAAGTATCGTTTATCCAAACATGTCCAGCGTAACCCAATCTGCTGCTTACCACGCAGTACTGTTGACGTGTCCCGAAAGCTGGAGGTTAGCGAGTAATTCAGGTTCGGAACAGAACAATTTGGATTTCAAGGCTCACTTTCTTAAGGCTTTCCCGACTTTCAGTGTGGAAGTCACAGGATAAGGAACACGATCGGCCAGCAACTCTATCGAAAGGTCGTAGTCAACGATGCCCAAGTTGTTAGTCCCTTCCTAAAAGTAACACTTTTTTGTCTACTAATCATTCCCATTTCCGTGATTTTCTTCCGTTAAGTTTCCCCTCTAACACCTATTATGGCACCGATGTCATATCCACGTAATCGTCTGCAATAATGAATATAACACGCATCAAGAGACCACCAGCATAATTAGTGGGCTGTAGAATTCAGTCACGAGGACATCCATATATGTACCCTACGTAAATGACATACCAAGGGAGTATACAGATCCCTCATAAATAAACCGTATAGTTAGAAGAAAAAAACCGTCCTAGCCAATACAGTCAACCGATCCTGGTGATGTGTTAAATGACATGAAAAAGACAACAGAGGGGTGCAAACACACGCACTACCATGAGATGAAACGAAATAAAAATGCAAACGATTTTTCATGACATTGCACGTGATTATCAGTCATAATTTACCGACAGCTTGGTCGTACGTATGAGCACATAGAAGAGAGCTGAGGTGTTTGCGTATCACGAGCTCAACAGTATAGGAAGATCCAAATAAGTAATCAACAACTGGATGATGGTAAGTGAAAAATGGGAATTATTAGGTGGAATCCATCGAAAGAATGGATGTGCGGTAAGATACCGCACTCTACTGTGAATGTGATCGAGGTAAAAAACAACAACTGCGAAATGGTCAGAACCAGCCACCACAGACAAAAACGTAAAAACGAACTAAGTAAAATAAAACGCTTATTTTCGTCAGGAAACAGTACAAGTGCATTACTTGAAGGGTTACAAAACCTAGTGCTGCAGACCCAAAGTGCCTCCTCTATAGCTTCATAACAGAAAACAAAATGGCGTGTTCCACATCGTAAGTTCTCAGTAGCACTGCTTCCGAAAAGTGGCTGTATGAATCACAGAAACTGTCGAAGTTGTCGCCCACCAGACACAACTCCAAGCTATTCGGAACCAAACGTGAGTGAGCTAGATAAAGAAACATCTTTTAAAACACGGACCTGATGTGACAATAGCCGGCAGTTTTAGTCACTCGGAAGCAATCGACATAAAATGAGTAACAATAGTTCCCACTAAGATTCAAACGGTGCTTGTGAGACTACTGACATAAGTACTTCGTGTTATAACACGTGCGCATATCAGCTGTCAGAAAAATTTCCAGTGTGACATGAAGTAAATATCAATAAGGCTTCATACATTTGCACACACACAACAATGATCAAGGACTTAACCGAACACTAACGCAGCTCGAACAGTGACAAAAAATGTTCAGTAGAAAGAGGTATATCGAAAGAAGATGAGAACAAAAGTTGGATCAAGTAATACTACTTAGATCTGGTAGTACTGTTAATTCAACCAGGCCTTCGACTGCAACGGTTTGCCACGCCGTTTAGCGTTTGATACTAGCGGCTGGGTGAATTGGAAGCCTTCTAACTGGGGGCGACATTCTGGCTTTTCTCAAAGCT